CTCTTTTTTTCTTACTTTAAAATAATTGAAAATTTCTGTTTCACAATATAAAAAAGATCGACGTTCAATTTTGTCACCTTGTGATAAATAGGATGTCCATTATGCTCACATAGCTATATCATACAAAGAAATAATTGCTGCTTTAAGCTCAATCAGTCTTGACCAGGATCTGAAGGTTCTATTCCATATCAGATACCAGTATTGAAATTTTCTTCTTTCTGTAAAGCCTGTGACTGTTTACAGTTGTTCAAAAACCTTCAGATTAATAAATAAAGTTGATCTTCCATGTTATAGAAAAAGTTTTCTATTGGATATAATTCTTTTAACAATAATCCATCACTTGTTAAATCTTTGATTGTTGAAAATCTGGTAATTTTTTAATGATGTTTGTTTCTTTGCTTTGAGCATTATTAGCATTTTCTTAGCTGTTAATTGTAGAGTGTATGATGTTGATGCTATCTAATCCATTATCTACAGTGATTGCTACAATTCCATTTGATATGCCAGTGTGTATATATGGTATATTGTTTATTTTAAATCCCTGCCTTGATATATTGTTTTTCATCTCAACAAATAAAAAGCATCTAAATCAATGTATTCATTGATATCATCAATATCAGCAGATCAATACAGGAGCAAGTGATTCCCATATAGCCCTTCAAATTACAAGATGTCCAAAAATCTGTTATTAAACAAACAATCAAATTTAATGAACAACTTAATTCTGTTATTGAATTAATAATAATTTGTTTTCTTTTGAAAACTAGTACTATTACAATTGATCAAGTTGAATGTTTGAGCATTTTCAATTATGAATTCTAACAATTTTTTTCGAGTATGATGATTGTATATGGAAGATCACTATCAGGCATACGCATATTTTGTGGAAACTGAATATTGTGTCAATATTTCCTATTCCCTACATACCCTATATTAAATTAAATAAAAATAACAAATGAATTAATAATAAAAGATCAAACATTTTTAATATATCTATGGTATAATTTCATAAATCCTTTTGATATTTCTTCGATAACTGAGCCATAATCATTATTATCATTTGATTCAAAGATTGGTAGTTGCGTATAATTAATAGATATAATATTATTTATAATATTTGTAATACACAAAAAATTATTTTACTATATAATTTCTTGTGTTTGTTCAAAACAATGATGTTCATGTATCATGTAGATCAACTAATTTTTTTTTTACGTAGTTTAAACTGTGTAGATCATTCATAAACATTGATTCTTTTTAAATGAATAGATGTCCAAATTAATTGAGGAAAAACTAGCTTTCGTTGAGAATGAAACAGTATTATGCTTTCATGGCCCGTTACTTTATGAAGCAAAAGTGAATTTATTAATTGTGTATAATAATAATCAATAAATTTGAAAGAAAAATAAATAATTGAAATTTAAATATTTTTTAGATTCTTGAAGTGAAAAACCTTGATCCTAAAGATTCAATTGCAGGAAAAAAGGGTCTTCATTACTTTGTTCATTACAAAGGCTGGAAAAAAACGTATATATATACAAATGTATTTATTGATAAAAAAAAACTTAAAGTTTTTGATCAGTATTTTTGAGTAACAATATTTGCATCTTGTCTGAATTAGTTGGGACGAATGGGTTTCAGAAGAAAGAATCATAAAATTCAACGAAGAAAATTTATTAAAACAAATAAAACTTAAAGAATCAAGCGAATTAATTAGCAATAGTAATAATAATATTAATAATCTTAATAATCTTAACAAAACGAAGCCACCAAGAGAAGATATTAAAGTCACCCAACCGGAATATACAAAGATACCTAAAAAATACACGCAGAAACATAAAAGACAAAAAATCATTGATGAAAATAGTAGTGAGTTTACCTTAAACATGTCATTAAGAAAGAAAAAGAAATTAAGTTGATTGGAAAGAAAATAAATTGATATTTTTAAAATATTTTACTTAAAGAAAACAATTCATCAAATCTCAATGAAAATAATTCAGATCAAATTGAAAATAAAGGCGGTAGTATTCAAAAGAGTTATGATGAAGATCTAGCGAAAGACCAGAAAATTGTTGATAATGTATGTGTTTTAATATTTTATTGTATATTTTTTTAAAACAATTAAAATGACTATATAAACACCTCAATTAATTCATCAAAGGATAAGAAATTTACAGAGTTTTTTGAAACTAAAATTATAATGCCACAACCACTTAAAATTAAATTAATAGAAGACTGGGAAATCATTACTAAAAATCAAAAGGTTAATTATTTAAGGATTTATTATTATTATAATATTTTGAATATTAATTCTTATATATATAATATATATATATATATATTAATTTATTTAGTTGTATCAATTACCTCGACAAATTACTGTTGTTGATATCTTGAAAGAATATTTGGATTATAAGCAGAACACAATCAACGAATCGGTTGATAATTCTACAATAGATTCTCCTTCTAAACAATCAATTGTGTCAAATGACGAATCTTCAAATTTCGAAATGTATTGTTATGATTACTAACGAGCTAGTGATTATCATTATAATGAAAGTTACTAACTTTTTTAAATCTCAAAAACTTGTCAGGAATAAAATGGAATTATATAATGAAATTACTGAAGGAATTCTTACATATTTTAACAAAAGTTTACAAAAAATACTTTTGTATAATTATGAAAGGGTCCAAAATACTGAAATTCGTGTTGCTAATCCAGATAAAGAATATTCAGAAATTTACGGAGCAGAACACTTGCTGAGATTATTTGGTATGTTTTTTGACTTTATTAATGCATGCATATATATACGTTTATATATTAACCGATTATGTGTTTTTTTGAATTTTCAGTTGAAATCCCGCAATTACTCTCTCAAAATGAATTTAATCAAAGTACTGCAGAAGTTATTCAATCATATTTAACCGATTTTTTAAAGTATTTATCATTAAGTTATTTATTATTTAACAAATATAAATATTGCTAATTAAGATTTTCTAATTTACTAACATGAATAAATAAACGAATAAAATCTTTTATTCATATAGCTTTCTTGAAAATAACATATCGAGGTATTTCGACACAAATTTTGCATCTGATGAAATTTCTTTTACTAAGAAACCAAAAACAAACAAGAAAAAGGCTCTAGGAGGTAAAATTATTTTAATGGCTTAATTTCGTGTTTTCTCTTTAAATTTTATATAATAAATTATGTTCATGTTAAAACTTTAAATAATAATAGGCTTGACTTGTGCAAATTGCAAAACCCCCAATACACCTAATTGGCGAGCAGGAGAAAAACCAGGACAAAAATTGTGTAATGGTAAAATATCAATTTTTTTTCGTCTCTATCAAATATTTATTGATTGCTAATAAAAATTAACAAAACATTTTTTAGCCTGTGGTCTTTACTTCAGTAAATATGGTTCACACAGGCCTGAAAGTCGTTGGAGTAATAATTGTTAATAATAAATTGCTTTGTCCAATTTATATATATGCTTTTATTTGATGTTTCACGACTTGGCTATTCAAATTTGATATTTGAGAATGTTAAATAAACAAAAAGTTATAAATCATATGATTTTATTAACTACCTTGCTGACCTCTCTTGGTGACAATTATTATTTGTCATGTTCAGATCATGAATTCTGCTTATTATAATATATAACAAGGTGTTTGTTTGCCCAATGCCAATTGATAATCAATTAGAGTTTTTCAGTGTAAATCATGGAACTCGATATGTAATATATAACGTTATTCAATGGCATCAGAACTAATCCGATAACAATGACAATCCAACTGTTGATAATTACTTCAAATGGACAAATGGCCAAACTGATGAAATCTACAAGTCAAAATTTTGAACTAGTGGTTGGCTGTTTATTATTCAAGGTTCATTTATAATAAATAAGAAACCAATTGTCAAATGCTGTTAGGTGTCAGTAAGAATTTGGTCAGCAAATATATAAATTATTATAGATTTCGTTTAAAACTCAAAGCACGGGAGGTTATTATGAATGCATCACTCTGGACTTTGGAGTCAACATCAAGGCCTAGATGGAATATCAAAAGAAATTAACAAAGGATTAAAATATTTGACTCCTCCGGTGCCATTTCAACGTCACTGGAAATAACAGGGAATTACACAAATTTCGTGAAGGTAAAATTTAAAGTGTTTTAATAATTAAATTAATAATATATTAATATTATAAAAAAAAAATTAGATAAGTTTAGTATATAATTGGATAAAGAAAGTGATTTTTGCAACGATTTCGCGCAGAATTGAAGTTTTGTAATCTAGCAAATAAAAAAGACAAACTTTCCTTTAAAAAGTGTTATTATGCCAATTCCCTGGTTACCTATCCCGCATTGAACAAGAAGCTGACGGAAAAAAAGTCAAGAAATCTCAACTTGTTGCAGTAATTAATTCTGTACCAAATCACAACGTCCAAAAATTCGCAGTTTAAATAATAAATAAACCAAAGTCAGAGTTATTAGCAATTTTGCAGGAAATAATATATTTATATAATTCTAGTGAAAGGGTAATGTCTAAAGAGCCTATATTAATATTTAGTTATTGAGCTTAAGAAAATTTATTTGCTCCGCTAAAAAAAAATATTTTACGTAAATTTACGTTCCTGACGAAGTGTTCGAAATTTGACTGCGCCTTAACATAAAACTAATTTTAAAAATTATTTGCGGTTAATTTCTATATTTGGTTAGCACGCGCCGATTCCGCCGATTGAATTTCGAACACCCGATTTATTTTCATCAATATATAGCATTAGAGCTTCCCATTATATTTTAAAAATATCATCACAACAGCATTATATAACGCATAGATCCGATCCCGTAATTTTATTATTATTGTTATTTGCTATTTAACAGGACAGGATTTGGGCTAGTCAAATATCTTGCAGCATGTCAAAAATTGAAACTATTATTTTTTTCTCGTTTTGATATCGATTACAGGGTTTACATTCTTGCTAACATCAAAGATGGATGGTTTAATTATTGTAGATACTGTTCACAGTGATGATACGACATACGTGTAATTTAGGACACAAGACAAGCTTAAATAACATGAAAAAGATAAATTGCACTAATCCTTTATAAATCATATATATGTCAAAAACAAAGAAAAATTTTTGTGCTTTAAACTTTATACATTTGTGAGTTAATATATGCAGCAAAATAATTATTTTTTAGAACTAATAAAAATTTACAACGGTGGTGGTTGTTGATTAATATTCTACAGCTCATCATTCCCTAAAGGATGCTGCAAAAAGGGCCTATCAAAGTCTTTTCTATTAGCTTGGTTTCAGATCTGAAAGTGGAAGCGTAATGCATTTGGAACAAACGGGAAAGATAATTTTATCAAGACGCCTAATCTTAATATGTATTGTAGACTTGTGCTAATTTATCTCTTTTTTTTCAAGCTAAGTTCATTTTTACACGGTCTTGGTAGTGCGATTATTTGTTTTATTTATTGTTGTAAGAGTACAGATAACAAAATGAAAAATATATGCCAAATAACAACATCAAATATCTTTACTGCTTAATAAAAAATCCTCCGGCAAAAAGGGCATAAATTTGTAGAAGTATTTGGGTTTAATAGATCTTGATTATTTCAGTAAGAAAATCATATTATTCTTCTAATATTTTTTTTAAGGAGACTTACTTAACATAGACCTTTTAAATGTGGGCCGTTCTTGGTCTTTTTACCAGTAGATCCTTCTTTAGTTATTATTGCTTTATTTGGCAGATATTTAAAATGGCTCCTGGTTTAGAGGTCAATGATTATTCCGAATTATGACAACCGGAAAACTCTATCGTATAAATCAAAAATGTCTGATATCAATAAAGTTTTCCCAGTCCTCTTAAGATATTGATATGGGTCAGGCCTCGAACATATTTTTTCAGTATCTCTGCCAACGAATCGATACTATTTGGCATTCTATACACTCCACAAGTGACCTTTACTATCATTACATCATGCACTTCACTTTCAATATGATCATTCTCCTTTCCGTTAAACAATTCATCAAATACTTCATCCACCAACTATAAAAAAAGGTAGCAGGACCCAAAATAATTTTTGCGATCCTATCATCAGTGGATGTTTGGATGCATGTGATCGAGTGCGCCATACTATTTTTGATAACCTGTATCATCAAAATTACCAAAAAAAGGCATAGTAAAATATCCAATTGCCAGCCAACACTGCCTACTATAGTCATCTTTATTAGTTTTCTCACAGCAGTTGTACCTGGATTGCTTGTAGAAGATATTACTGAAAGTAGAGAAGCTATCTTGTCACAAGCCACATGCAGCTTGACCTCCGAATTATATGGATTATTTTGACATTCAACGCTTTTCATTAACCTATTGAAGCAGTTAATCTACATACATAAATAAATAGATCACGGAAACCAATAATCCTAATTTAAGTTTGTGCCCTTTTCATGGAACGGAAAAATGGTTCAACATTATCTGTTATTGTCTTTTCATGGACTCTCTTGCTTATCGACAGGTATGTGCTAATGTAACGTAGCTGATTAATAATTTCTGCCTTAATTCCTGTAAGATACTCAGATGTAAAGTCTTCAACAAGCGATCAAAACGATTTGAAATAGTCTACTTTGATCAGAGTATTTCATTAAAGTTTTTAAAATTACATTTTGAACCTTCATCCTAAAAGAATGAAGAGAATTATTAGTGTTAACAACCAAAAACATAGCAGAACAATTCATTTGTTACAAACACGGTTGGCGTGGGTATCTGGAAAGAGGTTGTCAAACTGTTACCGTTAAAAAAATGATCCTAGTGGAGCCTCTCTCCAAACATCAGGCCAAAAACGTTGAGAAGGTCCAACAATCGTAGGGAGGGATGCCATATGTGTGATAGTATAAAAGATATTCCCCTGGTTATATGTTAAGGAAATTGATAACTAAAGCTGCTGTTGAAAATGATAATTAATAATTTTTAAAAAATAATAATTGAATAACTAGTGGTATGTTTACAAGATAAAAATTATTACTTGATCCAAGAAATTTGATTAATTTCGGATAAGATGAAAATTTGAATTTCAAAGAATTTAATATTTTTGTTAGCAGACGTTACCCTGAGTAGTTTAATGTTACATGTAATAAATATGCAAATCCTGAAAGTCTGGTGGGAATTTCTCCGAAAAATTTTGCTAATCGACATTAAATTTTATTAATGAATTGAAGGTCTTGGTATGCTAATGCTCCTTAAATCATATTATTGAGATACTTTGTATAATAAGTTGCTAAAATTTTGAACCATGTAATTCCCTTGTACCATCACATTCACTTTGACCCCCATATACAGTAAATATATAAAATTTTAAGAGTAATTTTTTATTTCACTGATAATAAAAAATAATATGCTATAAATAAATAAATGAATGAATGAATGAAACATTAAATATTAATATCGATATGTAATTTACAAATTTGCATTATCAGTCCAAATTTCAAGTAGTCTTCTTGTATTAATCAATTTATGCTTCAATCCTTCTAAATCTTTAAATTTTCCACATTCTATCAAAACCAAAACTTTTAAAGACTTTAAATTGATTTCCCAATTAATAGCTTTTGCCAATATTTTATCATTAATCCATCCACAATAAGATAAATCCCAAAATAATAAATTAATCAAATTTGAAAATATATTTAGAGCTATTGGTCCACTATTAGCATCAAAACATCCCGCTATTGATAAATGAGTTAATAGAGGCAAAGTGCTAACCAACAAAGATGCCATAGGAATAGTTGCTAGATTATTTGAAAATCCTAAATTAATATATTTAAGCTTTCTAAATTTCGTTAAATATTTTTTGGTTAATAATGATTCATTATCATTGCTGCTATTACTATTACTATTGATACTGTTGTGACATAAATATTGTTTTGATATTAATTCAATATCTTGATCATCGCCTCCGTCATTTCCATTTCCATTTCCATCTCCGTCATCTTTTGATAATAGATCCTCCCAATTTTCAACAATATTTAATGATTTATTGATATTTTTATTGTTAAATTCTTTCCAAAAATTTCTCTTAAAACATTCAAAAGTAATTAAACTATTTGATAAATCCATTTCTTCATATTCACAATCTCTTGAGAATAAATGTAACAAGTCATCGCTAAGTGGATTAAAAATACTTAAACCAGATAAAATTCGTTGTTTGAGATGAGTTGGTAAATAATAAAAATATGAATTGTAATATTTCGATTTATTAATATTCATATTGTCCTCATCATAGTCGTTGTCGTCATCGTTGTTGTTGTTGTATGATTTAATATTAATTGCTATTACTTTAACGCAAATATTTAATAATGATTCTATATCACTATTGTTGTTGCTCTCGAAAGGGTTAGAATTTGAGATTCCTAAATTTATTAATAAATAAAATGTTATAAAGCGTTGTTAATAAATAATATTCTTCTACATGGAATAAATTAAATCTCACCATCCCAAATTCTTTTTTTTTTCAAACGTTCCTTAATGACACGTTTTTGTAGAAGTTTTGAATAGAATGATGACGATGATGAATTGATTTTCGTCTTGTCAGGAATCTTACCGTCATAATTATTATTAAAGTACCAAGCACTTTGCCAACTTTTAGGTGGAGCAGGGCCTGATACACGTTGCCTTATCGAATTATTATTATTATTAATATTATCGGCTGATATTGTTTGATCATTAATTCCAAATTGTTCTTGAGCCAAGTAATAATAATATGAGGTTGATGAAAAATTTGTTGAAGTAATGCTATTGTTAGCAGATGAAGAAATTTTATTATTTAAACTTGCTTGTCGTAGTCTCTCAAGACGAGAAGTGACACTACTTGTTGTTGAATCATCGTTGTTATTGTTATTAATAATGTTGCTGTGATTGTTACTATTATTATCATTATTTTTCAAAAGTTTTAAATAATTTTGGTTCTTTAATCTATTTTTTTTTTGTTGTCTGGAACTTTTTACCATGACAAAAAGTGCTGATCATATATTCAGCGCACAAATTACTTTATTTAAGGCTTAGGATGATCAACAGCATCCAAAATTGGAAACAAAATTTTGTAGTGATTCTCGTAGCATGTATTCAAAAGAATTTATTTCAACTATTATATATAGTAGGATTTTTTTTTTAAATAAATGACAAATATGAGTTGATTGACAAAAAATGGTATCCAAATGTAATTTCTGCAGACCATTGGCAGACCACAAATTAATCAGTTTTATCTTAATAGCATCTGATTTTTTATCAATTAGAAAAATGATGAAAATTTTATTTCTTCAATGTTTACACATTTCTTCAAATCAAGTTTTTATTTATTAACTTCATACACAATTGCTATGATATTATATGACACATTAATAATGATTTTTTCTATACAATATCAAAAACCAAGTCTTGATCAGGTTCTTGGTAATCTGGAAAAGAAAAAAATATCTTGATCAGTGATGTTATTAAATATAATATTTAAATGAATTTTGTCACTGACCTTTTGTTTTCAATGCTCTTGGTTTTTGGAAAGATCTGCACTCCTGCTGTCTAACAGGCATTGCTACCTTTCCAGGCGCAAATTTCTCTCTTTCAGCCCTGCTCTTCATTTGCTTAAATTGAGAAATAGTAACTGATAATAATTTCTACAAGAACAGAATCAAGTAAGTGCATAAGTAAAGTTATAAATTTAACAATGTTTGAATATTACTAACCTTGGTTTGAAGCATAACATGTGATATTTTAATGATAAGCTCTAGTTCCTGATATTTTGTTGGGATATAGAAGTCAGCCAAATTCATGGATGCATAGAATCCACCCCCAACATCAGGAAATTTTCCCCGCTGCAATATTACGTCCATAAATTTTAATATGTAAAGTTGTAATATTTGCATAAAAATTATGTAACATTTACACTCAATGTAATAATTGCATAATTTTTGTATGCTTATTTGCATAATATTACAGGCCTGCCATAAACTTATGTAAATAGTGTAATAATTACATAAATCTATGTCAGAAAAATTTCCTGATGAATGTAGATGATAAGAATTGTGCACATAAAAAAATACGACAATAAAAACCCAGGCATCAACAGCTTTGCACTAGCTTGAAGAACCGGTTTTGACAGAGTTCTTCCACCCTCAGTGAATATCACTTTGATTAAATTTTGGTGCATGTCTCTTAAAGTTTTCTGTACTTTTAGAGTGTTTGAAAAGACCTTGGAAGTGTCTTCAATTTTTGAACCAGTATGCTTACAGAGAGAAAATTCTCGACCCCAACATAATTCTTTACCTAAATCATGCCTCTATATATCAAATTAATAAGTGTATTAACATTGATAATAACTTCTAAGAATCTTCTATACTGTAAACATCCAATCCAAGTGATAGCCCTCTGTATTACTTGGTGCATCTATTGCATCTGCTTGGCAGTTTCTGGAAGCTCTTGATACAACCTCCCTGCTTAATCAAACAAAGTGTAAACATTATTATCAATGATAAAAAATTGAAAAAATAACAAAAACTTACAAATGACTATTCAGAATAGTATCGAAGCATGAAAAAATGTGCCTCTTTATAAATATATCACATCAGGAAACTTTTCCCGCTGTAATATTACATCCGTAAGTTTTAATATGAAATATCGTAATATTTCACATAAAAAGGACGTAATATTTACACTGAATGTAATAATTGCATAATTTTTGTGCAATTTTTGCATAATATTACACTATTTACATAAGTTTATGGCAGGCCCCATAATATTACGTAAATTTACATCAGAAAAAATATCCTGATGCAATATCCCATTCAGAATTAGGTTGCTGAGTGATCCCTTTCACAATCATTTCACATCTAAATGAAATTATTACATAAGAATTTTTAAAACATATAATTTGGTACTTAAATGTTAAAACTTACGTAAATCAAATTAAATCAAGAATGAAAGCAACATCCGAGTTCGTATGATTGTCAACTGTCAATGGTGAGATTTCCTTAAGATTATCTATTTCATTGGAATCTTTTTCATCACCAAATAAGTTGTTCAGTTCAGGTGCTTTTTGCTCTTTTTTATTTTCTAATAATTTTTGAAGTTCAAGAATAGCACCATATGTCCCTTTTGGTCTCACTATTTCACCAATAGTGCGAAGTTGATCATTGTCAAGCTGGGAACCAAAGGAGATGCATTAATAAATTTAAATAAAGAATTGAAATTAATTTTTATTGTTTACCTTCTCAAGAGACTGTAGGAGACTCTCGGGTGCAGGTTCTGCTGTGGTCCAGTCTTCTAGAAGAGATGAAAATTTTTCATTAATCTCTGATAATTCATATTCTGTTATAAGAGTTATAATTTTTGAATCAGATAGATCTATGATCTTCCACCAGATTGGCCTAAAAATTTTATTAGAGCATGGAGGCACAATTATCAAATAAATCAATGCTTATTGAACACTTACTCTAAAGATAATTCATATTGAATCCTTTTATCATTACAATTAAAAGCATTGTAAATTAATGAATCATGCTTGTGTGCTATTTTATCTAACCAACTTGGTTTTGGTGTATCAAATTCCCATTCAACAGAGGGTTCTTCATCAAATAAAACCTATGTATGCATTCACAACATTCCTATAAGAGAAGGTTTTTTTTTATTTTGCAAAAATCAATGTGAATACAAGTACCTCAAACAGATCTGAAAGTTCTTCATCTTTACGTTGACATTTGTATGAATGATCATCTTCCACATCAAGTGGTCTAGTAACTTTCTCACATTCCTTTCCCTTCTCTGAATTGGATGTTTCTTGTAATTGATCAATAAATTTTTGGTTTTCTTGCTGATCCTAAAAAATTTTGGTAAGTTCATTGGTCTATTGTGAATACTGGTTTCAGACTTTCATAACCTTACCTTTAAAACCATAACTGTGTAGGTGGATGTGACATTTACTTGTGCCTCCTCATGGTATTCAAGATCTTTAATGAATAGTTTAACTTCGGTGGTGAAAAACATTGAGTCAAAGTTCAATAAAACCTTTGTCACCTTGCTTTTGGCATTTACATGAATATTACAATTGTCTTTATATTTAGATAATATTGTGTATAGATCTTCCTTGAAATCTTTGATTGTAGCAACTGATAATTTCAAGTTCAATTGTGAAAATTCTAGGATTCCAAGGATTGACCAATCTTTGTTTTTTGTTTTATCAAGATATTGTGTTATGGTGGATTCAAACATCTAAAAATAATTAATGCAATTATTAGTTATTTATCTTTTAATAAAGAAAAATAGTAATGTTTACAGTCAACTGTATACTGGAAAACAGCATACTGGAACAAAGGCCTTAAACATGTATGCCTAAGGACAGCCCAACAGACTGCCTCCAAGCATCTGAATGTAGGACAGGGTGGCCTAAAAACAGTAGGTATAGTAAATGCATCCTGGAAAACAGCATACTGGAACATGAACCTTAAACGCATATGTTTAAGGGTGCCCAACAGACTGTCTCCAAGCATCTGAACATAGGACGGGGTGGCCTAATGACAGTAGGTATACACGTGACTGTAAGCTCTACCAAAGTTCAAAGAGCTACGAAGGTATAGAAGAAGATTGACCTTATTTTTTTACGTTATATTCAAGAGTCAGTATTTTTTTTTAAAACTGTATCAACAATCAGCGATCAGCTCATTTCGTGTCACAATCTCATCTCATCAATTCGCCAGAAACGGAAAGAAATTACATAATGCAGATCGGGGCAAAATTTCCCAATTTTATAAAATAATTTTTATCTTATTATCAAGTACCACACTCATGCATAATAAAAAACATTAGTATAATCTATATATATATTTTTTTCTTGTTAAGAAACTATACATTGATTTTTTACTACTAAAGCACAAACTCAAAATCAGCTCAGGATTATGGGCAGAAAAACATACTATTAAAATAAATTCACTTATTATGATTTACTTGAGGAAAGTAATAAAAACTATTTATTTAGTTA